ATGGTCTCAAGGATTTTGTCCAAGATTGTAGCTCCCCCCTCCTAGGAGTGCCAAGTCTCATGCACAATATGCAGTCAACCTCAACAGCTATGACAATGTTATCTGCTGAAGCTGAGGGCTGGATACAGTAATTGATATTATACAATTGCAAATGCAAGAGCACATGCAGTTGCAGAGAGTTTTGTAGGTCAGCCATGCATACTAGAAGTTATGTCACCTACCGACAATTTTTCAATGTCAGAGGCAGCAAGATATTGAGAATTGTTTGTAGATTCTTAGCCAATCACCACGGAGATTGCATATGCATTGTACAATAATATCTCCTCTTATTACTGTTAAAGTTAGCCTGGGTGTCTTCTTATTACTATTAAAGTTAGCCTGGGTGTCTTCTTATTACTATTAAAGTTAGCCTGTGTGTCTTCTTATTACTATTAAAGTTAACCAGCATGGCAGGCTCTCTGGGTTTGGAGTAGGGTTTGGGGAGTTAAAGTTCACCAGGCTAGCCACATGTATGCATTGCGTACATATTTTTTGAAATAATCTAGAGGCGAGTTTTGAACATTAGGTATTAGATTAGATGGGTTATTTCCTATATTTGAGAAGTAATTATTAAAGGCATTAGCAATCATCTTTGGGTCAGTTATTGTCAAAAATTTTAATACGTTTCTGATTGGTATTTGGCATAGTTTTTACTATCTCGTTTATTCCTTTCTATAATTGTTTGCTATCATTTACATTTTGGCTATAGTAATTATTATAATATTGGCAGTAACTTAACAGGGCATAACGGTGAGCCTGTACTGTTGAATCATGCATGTCTGCTATACATTCATCTCATCAAGAATGTACAGATATTAATCCACCAACACTTTTACAAGCAAAAATACAATTTTTCCATGTTGTGTGTTTTCATTGTTCAAATGGCAAGTGTTTGTAACTACATTTTTTTATCTGGCCATGTTAAAAAGCAAGGCAAAAAGTTTTTCATTGTTTATAAAATGTCCCTAGAATGGCAAAGAGTTATTTTTCATTATTGACATTGTTCAAATGGCGGGTATATGTAGCTATATTTTTTCTCTGGCAATGTAAAAAGCGAGACAAAAAAAATACTTTATCAAAAAATCCAGTTATCTAATGTGGTATGTATTTCAGATATATCATACCTTAATCTCATAGAATACAAAAGTTTTGGTTAGGTTTCGAACCTTGGAAACTTTTACGAGCAAAAATACAATTTTCCGCGATTTGTTTTTAATTGTTTATATTAAATTATTATATATCAATAGTCAAAGTCGCATTTTTCTAGTGTTTTATTGGTTGAGAGCATAATAACCATGAGAGTGACAAAATTAGGCTGTCTCCCTTGCAACAGCGCGAGAGGGAGATAATACGTTATTGACCGGCAAATAACAAAAAAATTCACGTGCGCCATCACGTGAAGATGCGACCTTTGGACATTCCTAGTACGTAATTAAAACATTCGCTTCAAGTAACTGCAGTGTAGCCAGTGTTTAATTTAACATTTTAACAATAAAATATTTCATGTATTTACGTTCATTTGTTCTTTAATTTGTTGTTTCTTTGACTATTGATATATAGTAAAACACTTATTTACTGAGACCTCGGGAAAGCAGTGTGTTTTGTGGACCCTCGATGTTTCCCTCGGCTTAGTCTCGGGGAAACATCGATGGTTTCGGGTCCACAAAACACAATGTTTCCCTCGGTCTCAGTAAATAAGTGATAAATGTCCCGTCCCAATGGCAAGTAACTATATTTTTGATCTGGCAACGTAAAAAGCGAGGCAAAAAGTTGTTTATTAAAAAAGCCAGTTATCTAATGTTGTATTTCGGATATATATCATAACTTAATCTCATAGAATAGAAACGTTTGGAGTAGGTTTCGGACCTAGGAAAAATTTTACGAACAAAAATACAATTTTTCCAGTGTTTGTTTTTCCAGTGATGCTAAAAACATGTGCAGCCCAAATGGCCAATTCTCGCATGTCCGTTGTTGTGTTCGATAGCTATACTGCACTTCTTTACTAAACAAAACAGATGGTGGAATAGTATATTCACTATTTTGCAGCTTTCATATCTTTTCAATTTTCTACGATGCAAACACGCAATGTTTTGGCTACCTCCTCCGCAGGCCGTACAGCCTCTGAGTATGCCCATTTGCAGGTTAGAATATAAAATTTGAGACGAAGGCTTGCATAGCTGTTAAGGCCTGCTGAATAACCTGTTGATTCCTTGCATTATAGTGACAATTACTTGGTTGGATCAAGTTTCTTCAAAAATATGGCACATTGTCTGCCAATCTTTAGCATTCCTGTTTTGCAAGTATTTTCTAAATACTTCTTGGCAGTTATGGCAGATAAAAGCGAAGAGGCACTTGCAAGAAGGTTTTACAAGCAGAAGCAACAGTGATATAGAGATGTCATGAATCTATCATTTGGCCAATTGGGATGTTTTGACTATATACACACACATTTAAATAGTTACACTGTATGAAAGACAAATATTAATGGCATAAATTTTGTGGAGAAACCACATGCCTGACATACAACGTGTTATATAAAAGCATATTTGTCTGTTTTAGAATTTAATATGCAAATTAACTGATATTTATCTGCTTCTGTTTATAAATCAATGTGTGATTGTTCAGTATTCACTGTTTTTATGTATATTGAGGATACGAAAAGTGGTCTATATCAGAAGTAGTTAAAGACTTTAATAATAATATTTATCTGGTATAAATGATATATAACTATAATTTGGCTTGTGGCTTCTTGCCATCTTGGCAAATTAGTCTGTAGGCCCATCCTGTTTGTTTCCCACCAATTTTTGAAAGGCCTGCGGACGAGGTAGATGTTTTGGAAAATCAAAATTGTATGACTTCACTAATATTACTTGCACATTTGAATTATCGAAATAAAACATGAAAAACTGAAGCTACAGACTTGAAAATAACACTCTGAATAGTGTTTTAGATTGTGATTTCAACAAGACTACAGTTTGGCAAAAGATATGTCTTCGTAATTAATAATTTTTAATTGAAATATGATATCGCTTGACCTGTCAAAGCTCATAAATCGCTATGTCTGTCTTTGACTAAAACTATCATTAAGAATTAGGAGATATTGTTTCACTGAATTGAACGGTGGTATTTTCATTTACATAACATTCACTAAATGTACCGAATATATGAAACCTGCAAAATACTATTCCACTATTGGCATAGTTTAATTTAATAGCGCCTGTTACAACCTGCAAGGCTGCAATATTCACCAATGATCCAAGAAGACTACCATGTAAATCGCCAACTTTTGAAGGATTTTAAAATGTCTTCTATTTCTGTTTTCATATTTTTTAAACTCCGAAATCGACGGCCATTTTGATGTGAGCCTGTGAACCATTAGAGGAGAAAAGCAGTAGGTTGCATTTGCGACATTGAAAACGACAGGCACTTGCATTTTAATACTCTGGTGGCACACCTTAACTCATTCTCATCCAGTTGAAAAGTAGCAATTTTGAGTGGTGTTGTTTTAAATGCATATATCTTTCAAACTATACATCGTACGGAAACAGAAATTTGCATCATTCAAAAGAGGATGTCCTCCGCTTTCTAATGATACCAATTTCAATTTCATCCCGAGCTTGGTTAACGATTTATTCGCATAAATTTGCATAAATTATGATATAAAAATATGTTGCAATTATGCATAAATGTATTTACCGGTTCAAATTTCAAATATGTCAAAAATTTTATGAATGTATCTGAAAGGTTGTGATCTACATGTACCCAAAGTTTCATGCATGTAGCATAAATGGAAGTATTTTTATTGAATTTTTGAATAAACTATGTAATGGAGTAAAATTTACATTTTGTGCTCACATGAAACAAATACCCTTACCAAAGGTCCTTTTTCATTGCTGCAACATATTATCAATACAAATTTCCAACATTTCTTACTCTCCAAGGATAGTATGGCACCAAAATAAGTCTGTGATACCCACAAAAGAACACTCAAATCACTATTTGCAAAATGTCTTTATTTCTACGGTTACTATATACATTCTTAGCTAATCAGTACACGATTGACTTAGTTTTCAGTAGCATAACCAGCCTAAAAATTTGGTCATGCTATTCAAATTTTAAATAATCATTACTCATTTCTTGAGAAATTGATTGTTTTCACAATCTAGAACATGAAAATATTTGCACATAGCATGACCAAGTGTTGTTGGGCTGGCATAATCATTAGTAGTTATAAAAAAGTAATGTTTTCCAAGGCAATAATGTTTGCCAAGGCACATAATTGGATTATGTGGTGAAAATATTTCCTTTTTTGTACAAAATATGTATTAGCCAAACTTATATCACATCACCACATCATACCCAAAACCATGCTGCTAAGAATCTGTGGACTTCTTCCTGTATAAATCTCAAAGTCGCAATGTAACTATTAGGACAGACTTATCCCCCACATAGTAGACCATCTTTCATGAACTGCGTAATCCCCAAAATATTCCTTGATTTGACAGTGTGTTTGTCAACACCAATATTCTGTGATGGTTCGTACAGTTGTTCATGCAGTTTATTGCTGTAGTCTTCAGTGACAGGATCTACCATATTCAGAAACGGCATAAGCGCTTTGTACCTAAACCGAGAAATTATTTCTATTGCCCGCAGACCATGATATAAGGTTTTTACAGTCCAATAGTTTTCAATCTCACTGTTGACCCTTTACCAAACCTGCATATACTAAAAAGACTAAAAAGGCAATCAACCTATCAATCTTGTCAAGGTTGGTGGACTCAAAGACCCTTTTTTATTAGTATATGGGGATGATTTTTGGGTTGTTTGTATGTGGGCATATCTATTGGTATGGCCGGGAAACTACTGCCTAAAGGAGGATTATTCAGCTATCCCATAATGCAACAGTTTGAAACATATTATCGACGAACGGAAATGCAAATTTTATTTGCGCAGCGTCTGTCATGGACGTAAGAGAACATATGGCGGACGTGTTTACAGCTAATCAGTGCCTATATGTTCATTGTTTAGACCTTGAAGTTGAGAGAATTCTTCATTTAAAATCTGTCCCATGTATAGAACTTTACATGGTCATGGCACACATTAGTTTTCCTGAGAAATTAAGCGAACGCCTTGCTGTTTTGTTCTTACACAGCGAAGAGAACGTCTCGAAATTGCGTGAACAACATTCACCAGCTATTATAGAAGTAAAGTCAAGCTGCATTCACACAGTAAGTGTATTATTTACCTCAATTTCTTCTTCTACATTCAAATTTCATAAATAATGCTTATTCTTTTTAAAGATTGAAAACGAAGGACCAGATGAAGGCTCGACAATTATGCTTGTATTTACATTTGATGTAATGGTCAATAATTCAATTGCCGCGCAAGTATTGCCTCCTAGAATGCCTTCGAGCGAGGAAGACGATATAGTCTCCATGCCCTTTCTGAAGTTGGATTCGTGCAAGTGCAACTGTACATCGTTTCCCGAACTTTCTGATGTTTTGCTGGAAGAAGGTAAACGAAATGCTTGCGATGTAAGCAACGAAGCCGAGGCCATGGAGGCAGCCAACATGGCCGAAGATACAAGTGCAACAGCAATTCTGTCAGCAAATAACATATCTGCTTCTGAGGCAAACTCGACTGATTGTTATCCGGAATCAGAGGTTTCATATTCTGAGACTTTTACCTTAAAGGGGAGTAGTTTCCACAAAGATTTTCAGAGGGTACTTCGAAGCTGCAAACAGATGCTTTTAGAAAATATTCCAGTTGAGCTCAAATTGTGCAACGAACCTGTGAATGTCAACGATGAGAATGCAATTGTTGCTAAGGCAAAAGTAAATGGAATCTATTGGATATGTTCCAATCCAAATCTATTGGATATGTTCCAGGGAAAAAGCTAAAGAAAATTGAATCCGCAGTAAACAACAATGAAATTACAAACATTGCATTAACTACAGTGCAATACACATTTATATGGGGAGCTGGGGAACACAAGTATATTCCTCAAATAACAATTACAAAGAATGGAAAATGGCTTCAAGATGACAAAAGATACAAATATAATAAACTTTTTGATTAAATAATGTTACAAGTGTGAGGGGACACTTAGACAACTTTGTTAAACCAGAACAATGGTCAAGAAACCATACTGCAGTATGTTTTTTATATTACTTTTTTATATCAGTGGGTCAACTGAAAATAGCCTGCTCGTATTTTAAATAGTACATAATAAATGTTAAAATACCCAACCTCCACTCTGAATTGCAAATGGCACACCCTGGGACATGCCCTGCAGCAGCCCACTGGGTGACATAATACAGGAATGTAAACTAATTATCCAACCAACCTATTTAACCCATTAGCTGGCAATGCACCCTACTTCAGTATTTGGCTCTGTCCAATGCCAGAAAATTTCATTTGACAGTGGTAGGGTACTGCCAGTAAATGGGTTAGCAAAACTATCTGCCAGTGTCTCTTGTTAACCCATTACTAGGTATTTAGCTGGTATTGTGCCTCATTGCACCTTTCTGAAGTGTTTTGCTCTGTCAGTCACCGGATGACTTTACTATTCAGTGGTAGGGACATACCAGTAAATGGGTTAACCAAAAACCAAGGATAAAATACTGTTGGCCATCTTGTTTTGGCACCCTAAACCAACTACAGAGCTGAGCAATTTGGCAACTATCAAGAATGTTTTTGTCACGGATGTTAATACCTAAGAATATAGGCACAATGTTTTGCTTGAAATGTTGCGATATTTTTTTATGTACATACACCCATAACGAAGAAACTCATTAAACCCACACCACATGAGTCTAGTTAGATAAGCAAATCCTAAACCATCCCCCATAGATAGATAGATATATATATATATATATATATATATATATATATATATATATATATATATATATATATATATATATATATATATATATATATACATATATATGCATGTAGCATTTTATCTAATATATATATGTATATATATATATATATATATATAATATTAATGAGACCAAAGATGATCAAATTTTACAGTGTAGAAAGAGTGCTCAATACCATTTAATAACGTAGAGCAAATAATTTAATTTCTTAACTTAAAATATAGTCACAACTCTGAGTTTCACGCTCAATGCGATCTTCAGGCGACAATGTTTAAATCTCAATAAAAAATTCCTGTATGATTACGTGCGAGTTCGTTAGGCTACTTGCGTGATGGTATTGCGTGCGCACGTTCAAATTTTCCCGCCAAGAATTGTTTCCGGTGGCAACACTTCGAGAATAGCTCACATCTCTTGTTCAGTAATCTTTTCTTATCACCTTTCAAAATTTCGAGTTTCTCTTGGAGGCATAGGTTGCAACCTTTTGCGCCGCTGCGATAAGATGATGCTTGCTTCAGAATGGACCACTTGATGTTGAATGTGCGTTTCTTGTTTTTCAAGTTCCAAATGTGTTTGGACAGCTCAGTGGATTTTACATAGCTTGTATCTTTGAATGATGTCTTGTGGTTGTAATAACGTTTCTTGAACGTGTTTGATGTCATCCCAATATAATCTCGAATTACTCCTGTGTCGTCCGTAACCTCGGCTTTATAAACAACGCCCTTTGTAAGGCAATTATTGTTTAAGGGACATTCAGTGCTTTCTATGCAGTTACAGTTGTCTTTGGTAGATGCTACAACAACAGTTTTATTCTTTAAAAGTGTACCGAGGTTATGTTTGGAGATGACGCTTTTACAGTTATCCATGCAACTGTAGCTTACTTTGACCGAGTTTCTGTTAAAGATCTTGTGTAGTGGGTTAGACGCAGGGAAATGTTTGTCAATCAGGTTTAGAAAGTTTCTACCAACATTTGTTCTAACATTCTTACTAAAAGGTTGATTAAACCAAATTATATTTCTCGTTCTCGTTCTATTCTTCTGTTTATTATTAGGGGAGTAGCGTAAATTTGTTGGGTAATGACTACGGTGGAGCGCGGCTTGATAAAGAGGTGCAGACTTCGAGAAAGCTTCTTGATTCGATGATAACTGAGAAATTCGGTTGCCAACGGAAGATGGTAGATGCTTTGTAATTGAAGGGGGATGGTTTGAATGACTGTCAATGAAAAGTGGTTCATTGTTAGGCTTTCGGTAGGGTTGGTAGCTTTCATCATTTAAATTTAAGGTAATATCTAGGAAGTTGACAGATTGGTGGGTAATTTCTGTGGTGATTTTCAGTTGAAACTCATCGAAAAGTTGGTGGAGATCTTTTCTAGCTTTGTCAGCAAGCCGGGCAGAAGTACCTCGTAGTAGGATTAAACCATCGTCTCGATAAAGGCCGACGCGGTCTTTGCCATATTTCTTTGCCAAGGAATCGAGTATAAATAGGCCGATAAGCTCACACACTTCTGCTCCATCAAAACTGCCCATGGTTACGTCAAACAAGGAATTGTTTTGTTGTTTCATCCAGGTTTTACCGTCATTGAACAGAAGCGATTTTCTTGCGTGTTTGATGACATTGATCTGCTTATCATCGATATTAACGTACCCGCGAGCCCAAGTGATGGCTTTGTCAAGAAGTTCCTCTGTTATTGATGGATAAAACTCTGCTACGTCGAAGGAAATGAAGGAGTGACCAGGTTTGTTCTTGATGTTTTTGAACCAGTCAATGACAGATAAAGAATTTTTCCACTGGTTCAATCCGGTAGCGTTTCTGATTTGCGTATTAATGTCATCCAGGATGATCTTACTAATTTTACCTAGTTCACTCTTTGCTGGGTTGATAAGACGGTATTTTAGATTTGTTTCAAAATTCTCCTTGTGATCTTTTAATGTAACAAAAGCATCTTTTGATGCCATTGTCTCAATACGATCGCTGACTGAAAGGTTGTCCGTAATTCGGCTTACGATCGCTGACAGAAAGGTTGTCCGTAATTCGGCTTATTCGGCTTAATACTTAAAATGAATCAGATCCGATTTAATTATTCCTTGAAGAATATTGGATTACCTTCTCGTGATGAATACAAGAAAAGGCTTATTGACAAGATCGAAAACGTGGTAACCAGAATGAGATGGAAAGCGCATTTTTATCTACATGAACCAAACGCGAAAGAACAATATAAATTTGGATTAAAATCAAAAACGGCACCACCTTTTATCCATGAAATGAAAGCTTTTGAAGAAGATCTTGTAAACATGATGGAAAATATTCAGTTCAGAAACGTTTCCGACAAATTTTTAAATGATCTGGATAATGATCTTAAGAAAGTTAAAACGTCGCCAAATGTATTTGTTTTTGCGGACAAAACCAAAAACGTATATGAAACAACACCGGAGAACTACAATAAAATTGTGAAAGATAACGTGACAAAAACATACAAACTTACTGACAATGATGTGATAGAGGAAATCAACTTTGAACTAAGCCGAATTACGGACAACCTTTCAGTCAGCGATCGTATTGAGACAATGGCATCAAAAGATGCTTTTGTTACATTAAAAGATCAGAAGGAGAATTTTGAAACAAATCCAAAATACCGTCTTATCGACCCAGCAAAGAGTGAACTAGGTAAAATTAGTAAGATCATCCTGGATGACATTAATACGCAAATCAGAAACGCTACCGGATTGAACCAGTGGAAAAATTCTTTATCTGTCATTGACTGGTTCAAAAACATCAAGAACAAACCTGGTCACTCCTTCATTTCCTTCGACGTAGCAGAGTTTTATCCATCAATATCAGAGGAACTTCTTAACAAAGCCATCACTTGGGCTCGCGGGTACGTTAATATCGATGATAAGCAGATCAATGTCATCAAACACGCAAGAAAATCGCTTCTGTTCAAGACGGTAAAACCCGGATCAAACAACAAAACAATTCCTTGTTTGACGTAACCATGGGCAGTTTTGATGGAGCAGATGTGTGCGAACTTATCGGCCTATTTATACTCAATTCCTTGGCAAAGAAATATGGTAAAGACCGCGTCGGCCTTTATCGATACGATGGTTTAATCCTACTACGAGGTACTTCTGCCCGGCTTGCTGACAGAGCTAGGAAAGATCTCCACCAACTTTTCGACGAGTTTCAACTGAAAATCACCACAGAAATTACCCACCAATCTGTCAACTTCCTAGATATTACCTTAAATTTAAATGATGAAAGCTACCAACCCTACCGAAAGCCTAACAATGAACCACTTTCCATTGACAGTCATTCAAACCATCCTCCTTCAATTACAAAGCATCTACCATCTTCTGTTGGCAACCGAATTTCTCAGTTATCATCGAATCAAGAAGCTTTCTCGAAGTCTGCACCTCTTTATCAAGCCGCGCTCCACCGTAGTCATTACCCAACAAATTTACGCTACTCCCCTAATAATAAACAGAAGAATAGAACGAGAACGAGAAATATAATTTGGTTTAATCCACCTTTTAGTAAGAATGTTAGAAAAAATGTTGGTAGAAACTTTCTAAACCTGATTGACAAACATTTCCCTGCATCTAACCCGCTACACAAGATCTTTAACAGAAACTCGGTCAAAGTGAGCTACAGTTGCATGGATAACTGTAAAAGCGTCATCTCCAAACATAACCTCGGTACACTTTTAAAGAATAAAACTGTTGTTGTAGCATCTACCAAAGACAACTGTAACTGCATAGAAAGCACTGAATGTCCCTTAAACAATAATTGCCTTACAAAGGGCGTTGTTTATAAAGCCGAGGTTACGGACGACACAGGAGTAATTCGAGATTATATTGGGATGACATCAAACACGTTCAAGAAACGTTATTACAACCACAAGACATCATTCAAAGATACGAGCTATGTAAAATCCACTGAGCTGTCCAAACACATTTGGGACTTGAAAAACAAGAAACGTACATTCAACATCAAGTGGTCCATTCTGAAGCAAGCATAAT